GTGTGGGACTGGGAACAGCTGACAGCTCCATACGCACAACTTTACGTAGCAAATATTGCGTCTTGTGGAGCAGAGGAGTTGTCGCAGCTGAGATGTTCTGAATGCTGGGTTTTTTCTCGGTGAGAATTGGGGTGTTTCTTTACACGTTTTGTTCTCCTCAGCTGTGTGTGCGCTGTGCTTCCCGGGCCATGCGCTCTGTGTGTGGTTCCAACTGCGTGGCAACGATATAGACAGTTTGCAGTGGACTGGGGGTTCTTTGACCATTTTTGGGCTGGTCTGTTTTCTTGTCTGGGGCTGGGTGGTTTTCGGTCCTTRAGTTCAGTTTCGTCGTCGTTCGAGTTTGAACAATAAAAGTGAAAAAAAAAAAATCTAACACGCTGTTAGATTTTTTTTGTTTCATTTTTGTTGTTTGGACTCGAGCGATGGTGGGGCGGGGCCCCGGGACTGAAGATCATTTGGCCTCAGATAGGAGGGTATGGGGATGATCGGGGAGCCTCCGGTCTACTGTGGACTGTGGAGTTTTTGTGTTGTTGTCGTGTGGTTGGAGTCRCACGTGGAGCGTGTGGCCTGTGGAGCGCGCGCACGGCTGAGGAGTGTGAGGTGTGTGAAGGAAACATTTTGGTTTTCATTGAGAAAGAAAGCGTGTTGATTCGGAGCATCTTGGCTGTGATTGGTTCCTCAGCTCCACAAGATGCAGACAATAGAGTTGTTGCTGCGTAAAGTTGTGTGTAATTTATGGATCAATGTCAGCTGTTCTACAGGCTGATATCACAACAAGAAGAATTGAGGACAGCGTGGTTTTTTTGTTTGTTCATTTGTATCACACCAAAAAAAAMCACAATCAAGTATTTTAYTGTAGTTCTGAGTCGAGTCATGCAGCTGATCTGAATGAGAAACTTCATGATTCTAAAATATAAATTCTACACCGCGGCAGAAACTCGCAGCGCTGCGAGTCACTCGTTCCTTAACTTCAACTATTTAATAAATATTTTTCTAAGTTCTACCAAAGTCATAAGTTCCTGTGTTTACAGTCATTTATTAAAGATGTGTAAAGGTGGAAATATCTTGCACCGCTGCAGCACACGCACACACAGCAACACCCACACACGAGTGGCAAACAAATTTTTACACCTGACAATTTTCTCACTCATTCATCTCCATTCATTTAATGTATAAATTTCTTCCATCTAAAAATCATTTCTGATCCCACAGAGGACAATCCGAGAAGCAGAATCTCACGCTGGACACATTTACATGTATTTTTCGTTTCTTGTCACAGATGTACCCAGAATGCATCACTTCAGTTTTCCAATAAACAGTTTTAAAATTAATTTATTGATGCTTCTTTAATGGAAAAAAAAAAACAAAAGAAAAAGACGAAGAAGCAGCTGCAAAAAACAACTTTTTAAAGAATCAGCCGAACTGCAAGCCTCAACAAGTTTTTAAATTTTAGACCATGAGCCAAAGTTCTGTTTGAGGAAATCACATCCCCAGCAATCCGCAGTTATAAAACAAGCTGTGCAAGGGTTCATGCACCAATAGTGGGCAGTGTTGTTTATATAATGTGTACAASATTGTAGCCAGCTAGAAAGTGTCAAATTGAATCTGCGGTCTGAAATTAGCTTCCACCAATTTTTCTGTGGCATCAGTGGATTAGAAATTGTGGGCCTAAATATTTTCATAAGCGCTTTGCGCTGCCCTCCTATGCTTATTGTGATATGCTGTTATCAAGATGACGATAAATTTGCGATATATTGTGCTGCCCTAATTCACCTGTACATTGCTCCAGATGTGATTAGAAAAATAATAAAAATTCACAGTTTTTGATAATTTTACCTTTTTCTGTTGCAAACAGGAAGCTTATTAAAACCATAATTACTTTTTTAAGTATTGAYGTATTCAGTAGAATTTTATTGCTTCATGTGCATTTACTACTTTTGTATTTCTTCATTTACAATTGTACACAAGAATGTTACTGTTTCTAATGATACYATGGTAAATGGCCTGAACTTATATGGTGCTAGTCTCTATGGAGTCCAAAAGGCTTCACACTTAGATTCACCCATTCATAAACACATTCACACACTGATGATGGTAATCTCAACGAGGCTGAGCTGCCATACACCAGACCACCAGGCCCTCTGACCACCACCAGTAAGCAAGGCGCATGACGTATTTTGTCCAAGGACACAACAACTGAGCTGGATGGAATTAAGAATATGGGTGCATCACTTGCAGTTTTCTGGCTGATCTCTGATTACCGATCTTTAAAAAGTCTGACTTGCTGATTCCAATTTTGTCTGATACCGATTTTCTAACTGACACTGTCAGGTGTTAAAAGGTCACAATACACTTTTTAATGTTCCAATTTTATTTYATTGAAAAACACTGAACAATACCCTTGAAACAATACAAACTTGTGTTAACTGGACATTAGTGCTTACAGCAGAGCAAAAGGGGACAGGGAACTTGATTTTTTCCACAGATCTTACTGTATCTAAGTGTCAGCTGATCTCAGAGCTCCCAAAATTAAGGAAATTGTTGCAGATAAATCAGCCGGCCTATATACATTCCTGATCAAAATCTTAAGACCAGTCAAAAAAGTGCAAGAATTTGCATTTTGCACTATTGATCTTAAG